AAGTTACCATAGCTGTTGAAAGGAAAACAATGTACATTAGGCGGATTATGCAATATATATTTATGTCAAAATTCACACACATTACCAATATAGATAACTAGACACTAGAGTGCATGGTATTGAATGACTAGATACCTGACGATAACATCAGGAGGGAAAATGTGAGGAATAGAACGTACGTGCTCCTCATTTATTGTTACAAAATTGGCGCTAGGATTGAGTTGCTATAGTAGTGCTTGTTGTGCCCTTTTGGATTGTCGAGTGTGGTACTGTATGGCAAATGATGCTCCTTTTATAGTGGGCACAAACTTGATAAGGACACAGTAATTGCAATAGATTAATATGGTTCATGGTAAAGAAGGGAATAAAGTTATTAATTAAGGTCTATATAAGGATCACATTAATGTTAATAATTAATGAAAGAACTAACAACAATTCAACTGTGCTAGGGGTTGTGGACGAATTAGAAGACATGGAGGATAATAATGGGAAAAGGTTATAACACTAGGTTTTCACAAATTCAACATACCCGGTTTCAAAATATATCATTGGTTTTTTGTCCTTCCCAAAGACGGTAAGCAAGAACAATAAGATCAATTAGCTCTTTTTTAATGTATACTACAAGTGTCCCACCGAGAACCCTCCTCCCCCGTGTCACCCCCAGGTGACACCAGGGGTGCAACCGCTGCCACCACCAAATACTCCTCCTCACCGCCACTACTGACGGCTATTACGCCATGTGGTGGCAGCCCCCCTTCTTGCTAAAGGTCGGGGGAAGGCTCTGCTTCACTAGTGGTGCTAGGGGTGACCTCGCTCAGCTAGGGCAAGGGCAGGTTGTTTGCCAGCGCAAGGATGCCAGGGCGGCGGCCTCGGGGCATGGTGGCAATGGGCTCCTTCCTTGTCAAGCGTTGTTGGGCAGGAGTTGTCGGGACGTAGTGATGGTGGATCTAGCTTCCTCTCGCCCAGGTCCGGTTATGCGGGCTATGGCCGGCCAACACTGGGTGGTGGCTGCCAGGGCCTCTTCGGTGGTTGCCTTGGTCGTGGATCCATAGTGGTGGCGGTGTGCTACAGGTCAGGGTTGCTGTAGGACAGCACCATGGTTGCTCTCCATAGAAGCGTATGGATACCCTCAGATGTAAGGGATGATGTAGGCTGACGACAAGTATTTCCCTCGATTGAGAACCAAGGTTTATCGAACCAGTAGGAACTACTCTACAACACTGGTGGTGTCCTGAACCAAGGGGTACTAATCTATATGGCCCATAGTCCATGGGATGGGCTTATGTCCCGCTGATCACTAGAAGGAAGGACTGCTGAAGCCCTGACCCCCGGCGTAAGAAGATGGAAACCTCCGAAGACTTGGCGAGTACTGCTACTTGTAAGTTGCGTTGGGATTTCCTGAAAGAGGAGAGGATGAAGCGGTACATTAGAGATAAGTATTTCCCTCAGTTAAGAATCAAGGTTATCAATCCAGTAGGAGAACCACGCAGAACCTCTTTAGCAGCACCTACATACACAAAAGCAAATACTTGCACCCAATGCAATCAAGGGGGTGGTCAATCCCCTCGGTGGTTATTTCTAGAGTTTTCGGATAAACCAAGCTACGTACGTGACCATAAAATGATAATTCTCGTTGCTAGATTAACTTTCGGGGTGTGTGAAAGAAGAGACTTAATTAAAAAATCTCGTTCCCACACACTAAACTTCCTCTAATACGCGTGACCCCCTAGAAGATCATCCATCTTCATCGATCTATTGCGTACGTAATGGTTCACTATTCTTGACTATGGTGAAGCTCAAGGAACTGTCAGCAGATCGTCGACAGCCAGAGCCGAGCAATTGTCAAAACCTTGTAGAAAGCGACACCATGCCGTCAATGAACTGAACCAGAGCAACACTCGAGGGAAGCATAGAAAGAACATCACCATCACATCCACATGCGATCTAGATCACAACCTGCATCAACTCATAGAACCGCACATGATGCCATTGTTGGGAAACGTAGTAGAAACAAAAAAATTGCCCTACGATCACCCAAGAACAATATGAAGATGCATAACGGGTTTGAATCAACGATCATTACCGACTCCGGGAGTGCAGGGGAAGTAGACGAGTCGGTGTAGATCGTACTTGGAGTCCCTCGAACGTCGATGAAGATCCCATGAACCGCCCTTGAACGATCCCTTAAATGGAAGACTGAAAGCACGAACTCTCTACTTGGTTGCAAGCGTACGGTCTTTACGATCCGACAGTGCTTCGCCGTCCAGAGATAATCATCGTCAGGGAATTAGAGGGAGAAGATTATAACCACATAGGGGTTCTAATTATGAGGATTGGAGGTGGCTAGTGCTAGCTCTAATTAGTCAACTAGGACAAACAAGAACTAGATCAACTAAAGGAGACTCCAAAACTTGTATAGACATAGGGTGGCAAACATCGTACATAAAGAAGTTTTGCGGTGGGCGATTAGGTTTTTCTGAATTGCAGCCATATATTCAAGCATTAGTGGCACCGAGAGCTAATCACAAACTCGCCTACAAGTTTTTTGGGGCCTTCACCATCCTGGAGCATGTTGGGGAAGTTGCCCATCGTCTAGATTTATCACCTTCCAACAAGGTCCATCCCGTTTTCCATGTGTCTCTTTTTGTGCAGGGTGCTCAAGCTTGGTCAGCAAGTTCTGTAGCATTTACCTTTGCCTGAAGCGCAACACCAAGTTCTTGAAGAAATTCTCCAGCGCCGAGTTGTTACTCAAGGGGGGCAAGAAGGTGCTTTAAGTTCTTCTTCGCTGGACCAACAGTACGGACGATCTTGCTACTTGGGAGGATCTGGAAATGACGAAGCAACTGTTTTCGCGAGCACCGACTGGGTACAAGCCGCAACTCATCGACGGGGGATTGTCAACGACTCGGTGACTCATGAGCGAGAGTACAAGGAAGATTCATACAAGAGGCCCAATCGCAAGCCTTGTCCACCGGCTCGGCTTTCTAGGCCCGAATATGCTTTAGGCCTTAATAGTATAGGTAGGAGATAAGATCAACGGTAACGAGCAGCGAACGACAAACAACTAGATTGGAAGGGAGCTGGTGTCTTTCCTCTCGACCCCCTTCTGTAATTTGAATTCCACCATGAAATCGAGCTAATAGATCGAGAACTAGGCAATTGCTCACCGAGTGGCCGGAGGCCTGGGAGAGCGCCATCAGGGCAGACCACGTCCCCTCTGGCGCCGTGCCAACGAACCCGTCGGCGTCCGGTCCATGGTCGAGCCTGTCTTGCTAGGCCTCGGCGGCAGCAAAGTACTACGTCCAGCCGAAGACCCCGTGTGCGGGCGATTGGGAGGAGCTCCTGCAGTTCACTTGAAAAGGGCGGGCGCCATGGCAGAGGCCCGCGGGGGTGGTTGGCGCCGACCTCCGCTGCCGCGGGAGGTGCTCAACGCGCGGTGGGAAGTGGTCGGGAATGAGCGACGTGGGATATGAATCGAGTGGGGGTCGAGTCGTTCGGTGAATTTTCAAAAAAAAAAAAACTCCGGTGTGACAAATACATTAGTCGAAGGTATCAATAAATATACAAATTTATACTTTTTTGGTTAGAGGGACTTTCAGGATTTTCGGCGATGCGCATTCAGTGGGAGAGACGTTCCCGTCGACGACGAGGCGCCTACGATGACTTTGTAAATCTCAAAATGATATGCCGGCTCAGTCTTTCGGAGGCGCTCATAGAGGTAGAGTGTGCGAGTGTGCGTTTATAGGAATGAGTGTATGCGCGTGCATATGAGCGCTTGTGTCTATGCTGATGTTAAAAAAAAGAAAATACAAACCTAAACTGTTTTTTTCAAATACGTGAAGCATCAATCAAATGAATCTTCCTCGAACCGGGTAGGCCAGAGTCGGGATGGGGAGGTGCCGTACGGGGTATCACGCACGCAATACAAGGCGCGACCATTCCATACCGACATGACAAAGACTGACACGCAGGGCCCCATTCATCAGCCCCCGTCGACTACCCCGCACGTGAGCGTCGGCGCCCCTGCTCCCGGCCCTGCGTTACGCAGTCACGCAAAAGCGACGCGGGAGCGCGGCAGCCGTCCCCATCCGCCCGGGTCAATAGCGACGCGCGCACGCTCCTCGCGCACCCAGCACCGCCGCGCACGCCACCGACGACTGGGCCCCGCCCCGGCCCGAGGGACGCCAGAAGGCACGAGGCGCAGCCAGCGCCCACCCAGCAGCACCACAGTAACCGAAGCAGTCGAGTAGGCGGGCGCCAGCAGCGGCAGCAACACGGGGAGGAGGGAGGGAGTAGAGGAGTAGGCGGAAAAAGGAGGCGTAAGCGCGAGGGGGACGGAGCCGGGGAGAGGGACGCGCGGATCAAACGCCCGCCCGCCCGCGCGCAGCAGCAGCTCGAGCCCTCGGTTCCTCCGCCCCGCCGCGCCGGAGGTGGAGGTGGTGGTGGAGGAGGGGCGCGCGGCTCGCGGCCTCCCTCCCGATCCGGATCGAGCGGGCGCTCCCCGGAGCGGCGGATCTCCCTCTCCCGCGGCGAGGTACGGCACGAATCAACTCCGTTCCCCCCGGGTTCCGGTTTTCCGTTTTGTTCGCGCGTCGGGTTCGGACGATCGGATCTAGCTGCGGGCGTCTGCGTGATTCCCGAGGCGGTTGGGGGTGCCGGTGCCGGTGCCCGCACTGGATCTCGCGGCGGGAGCATTTATTATGTGTAGGTTAGGCGATCGCCTTTCCTTTCCGGAACCACCGTTTTCTGGGCTTGTTTCCATGGCTTCTGCTTCTACTCGTTGCGGATAATTTGGCCACGAGTTCGATGTTTTCCAGCACAACTCTCTGAATTCAGTTCTAACCTGTATTTGTTTGTCTCTCCCAAAAATAAACGGATAATCTGTGTTGGTTTGTGGCAGAGTCGACGCTCCAGTGGGTGCTGTACATATAGTTTCAGATCAGTGATCATCAGTTCTAGAATAGGCTGACCCCTGATCATTTAGGCTGCATTTGCGGAGAATGTCAGGTATGGGCTGTTGTTGGTTGTTCTGTAGGTACATGGGTTTCACGGATACAATGCAGCTAATGTTATGTGTGTTATGATGTGCTGTTTCAGAGAGCAATATCGACGGCATAGAGATATCTGTCAGTAATGACGAGAGGAGGGACAGAGCCGATGCCGAGAACTCAGAGGACGAGCCAAAGCACAGGAGGATGCGGTCGCTGAGGAAGAAGGCGCTGCACGCTTCAACCAAGCTGACACATTCGCTGAAGAAGAGGGGGAAGAGGAAAGTCGACTGCAGAGTGCCGAGAATACCGATAGAGGATGTCAGGGATGCGGGTGAAGAGCAGGCGGTCAGTTCGTTCCGTGAGGTTTTGTTTGCCAGGAACCTTTTGCCTGAAAGGCATGATGATTACCATATGATGCTTAGGTTAGTAAGGATGAAACTTTGCCTCGTATTGGTGTTTTCAGCCTTCAAATACCAGTTGGTGATTCTTCATTCTGGTATGCAGATTTTTGAAAGCTAGAAAGTTCGATGTCGAAAAGGCAGCACAAATGTGGGATGAGATGCTCCAGTGGAGGAATGAATTTGGGACAGACACAATTTTGGAAGTAAGAACACTGTCTATTCTCTGGGCTGATTTGCAAATATATGAAACACTGTACAGATGTAGATGCATTTGATGTGAATTTGAAAGACTGCCTGCTATATAATTTGCCTTAAAGTGTCGTGCATACTGATGACAACTAATTTTTATCATTGAAGGATTTTGAATTTCATGAGCTAGAGGAGGTACTGCAATATTATCCCCAGGGTTATCATGGGGTTGACAAGGATGGAAGGCCTGTCTATATCGAGTTGCTTGGAAAAGTTGAACCCAATAAACTTGTGCAAACCACAACAGTGGAACGATATATCAAGTACCATGTGCAAGAGTTTGAGAGAGCATTCCGTGAGAAGTTTCCTGCCTGCTCAATTTCTGCTCAAAAGCATATAGATACAACAACCACAATATTGGATGTCCATGGCGTGGTATGTTCATTGTCCTTCTCCTAAATATGGTTTCTCTACGCCAGCAATTCTTGTCTAGACTCTAAAGACGTAAGAAAATTAGCAAAAGGAAGTGTTGTCTCTGCAGTAACATTTTTCCGAAACTACCTTCTGTTGATAAAACCTTCCACTGAAATTATTTGTTAGGCTTAAAATATGTACTTTGTGGGGCTGCACTGCAGTTATCACAAATCAGAAACATTGTTTTCCTGTCACAAAGACATCTTCTCATATAATAATATGCTATGATACAACTGAAAATTTTCACAGAAGTTGGAACTCTTAAAAAAATGTGACTATTGGGATTTGTGAAGATGTACAAGCCTTCATATAGAAAAATTTCAGAAACTTCTTTAAAAACATCTTAGTGACTAAATTAACTAGGATGCTTGGTGGCACAATAGTCCTTGGAAGTTAGAGAGAAACAGCAGTAACATAAGGCTTTTCTTGAATGCTGCTGGTTTAGCTACTCTGTCCAGATAAAATACAATGGATTTGATTCCAATACTTTTTCTCGAACACGCGTCTAAATGTGTTTCATTTTGTATTAGAAGAGAATGCCTAAGCGGCGCAAAACGTACAGCCTGGTAGAAAACAAAACTGAAAAAAAGAGGAAGCAAAGCTGCAAAAAACCTTCGCAAGCAAAAGAAAGGCAAAAGCGCAACAGCTATATTGGCAAGCTGTACAGCTGGCTGCTAAGTCTGGTGGCCTGGGTGTGCCATGGAAAACGTCTTAGTGCCTTTTGCTCCTTCCAACATCCACAACTTCTCGTCAGTTATAATCACATTGAGCAGACCAGCATTGCACCTTTAAACACTCAGTCATCACACAGCTGCCAGAGTTGCCACATGGTTAGACTGTTGAGCAATCTGGCCCCTTCCTCTTGGCAAGGACGCCCCGTTCAGCTACAGATGTCAATCAGTTGTAGAAGCTCTCATCCGGTACCAGGGTGGTGACCTCCTGTTTGATTCTAACATTTAGGTTGCATCTTAAAGGTCTGGGTAGAGCTGTAGTGTGGAGGTTCAATTCCTCAAAACTGTTGATATTGCTAGAATTGTGTTGGTCGGCTGCTATTGCAATCCAACTATATGCATCTATGAATGTAGGAGTTTATTTCTATCATTTTTTTTTCTTTCAAACTGTATCTTTGATTGATCGTAGGATGATTTTGTGGTCTGATCTTTGAGTGCCGTTTAACATCATTGTGCTATCTGCAAAATAGTTGAAAATGACGTGTGTATCTGTTCCATATGATGTAGGGCTGGAAGAACTTTGGTAAGATTGCAAGGGATTTAGTGCGCTGTATGCAGAAAATAGATGGTGACTATTATCCCGAGGCAAGTATTACTGATGAAATATAGGCATGTGTTTCGCAGTGTTCTGATTACCATTCATGTGCTAAATTATGCAGACACTACATCAAATGTTCATTGTAAATGCTGGAGCTGGTTTCAAACTGATCTGGAGCACTATAAAGGGACTTCTTGACCCCAAAACATCATCAAAAATTCATGTATGAAGTCTTGCAAGCGTTCCAAGTTCACTTTCCACATTGTGATGTTTCCGTTGCTTCATACCTATAATCTTCCATAACAGGTTCTAGGAGCAAAATACCAGAGCAGGCTTCTTGAAGCTATTGACGCAAGGTTGGTGACGGTAATCTTCTATGTTGTTAGGGTCGTGAGATTGGTTTCTGTGCTTGTTGTACAAGGCTTAATAGAATATATCTGCAGCCAATTACCAGAGTTTTTTGGTGGTTTGTGCACATGCTCTAACCAAGGAGGATGCCTGAGGTCCAACAAAGGCCCTTGGAGTGACCCTTTAATTATGAAGGTAGTCTTTTTACTGAATCTGCTGGTGCTCTCTTACTGTATCATACTTATGGTACAAAAGGATATCCAACTTGTCTGCTACAGCTGATTATGAACTTACTTTTTATTGCAGATCGTACATAGCATGGAATCATCTGCATTAAGGGATATTGTGCAAGTATCTGATATAGAAGAAACAATTACAGGCTCTGTAAGATTGCGTGCGCTCAAGGCAAGATTACGAAATATCCGATCTGTGAGCTCTCATTTGTTCAATGAGTCAATCTCTTTTCAATTTTAACGTTTTATGCACTGTCCTTGCTTCTTTCAGTTACCAGAAAGAATTAGTGATACATCAAATGCTGAATCAGGTTCAGATGTTGATGATCTTGGATCCCCTGTAGCCCCAGAAGATGTTGAATATCATAGTTTGGCTCCAGTCCGTGAGGAAGTATTGTTCCCTCAATTCTGCCATTATATTAATAAGTTCCATTCATGTTCTCACATTTTTTTTTCTGCGAGGGAACAACGACCTAACATTTAGGCATGTCGGGACCAAAAAGAAATATCATAGTTTGGCTCCAGTCCGTGAGGAAGTAAATTATTGTTCCCTCAATTCTGCCATTATATTAATAAGTTCCATTCATGTTCTCACTTGCCACTAGTAGCTCCTGTATTCAGATGAACAAAAGGAAATAACCGATATTTCTTTTTGGTCCCGACATGCCTAAATGTTAGGTCGTTGTTCCCTCACAGAAAAAAATGTTTGGCTGTTGCTAGCGCCTTATCCTCAACATGGCATTTCTTAACAAACTTCATCTCCTGTCTTTGTCATGTAGGCCAGGGAATCAGGATCAACGACATACGGCTGTTCAGACGATCGACCTCTTTCAGTGGATAAAGCTGTCGAGTCCAATAAAAGATCTAACGTTGCTGGAAATGTATTAAGGCAGTACAACACACGACAAAATTCATCGATGAATAGAGTTTCGCCTGAGTCAGGTATCTAATCATGGTCTGCATGCACTATCTAACATCTATAAAAACTTATGGGGCGTTGTTAATATTTTATCCCAGTTGTCTCACCATGGTGGCTAGTCTCTCTGATGCTTAAAATGTGAGTTGAAACTAGCAGGTCGCGCCCCAAATGTCCGTGAAGGCGATGCAGATGATGGGATTTTGAAATTATTTTCAAGAAAAGTTCTTGCTGTAATTCTCAAAGTACTCTCTCTTTTGCGCTTGTTCACTCGCCATCAGCGACAGTTGGAAAATGTTCATCCACATACTGCAGCTGTACCCAGTAATCAACCAAATCTTCAGATAGTTAAGGAAGACCGAGTAAATCCTTGTCTGGAGCGTCTTGAAAGACTTGAATCGATGTGTAATCAACTCAGCAGAAAGCCTCCTGAGATCCCACAGGATAAGGATCGTGCTATACAGGATTCTTTTGATAGGATAAAATCCATTGAATTTGACCTGGAGAAGACAAAGAAGGTATTTGTCTAACCAAGTGTCACAGCCTTATGGTGCTTACATTTGTTTCAGGATGTATAGTTTAGAATTATATCATGCTTTTTACCACATAAGTGTTGCGCCTTTATAAATAAACTTATGGTCTGCTTGACTAATTTGCAAAAATTTGAACAACGTAGGCTCTTAGTTATGAATGTGCTGTTTTATTTATTGACATATGCATGTTTGTGATACACTTGAAACTTGAGCACCTGGTGAAAAAAACTGCAAGGAGTTCGGTTAGAATCCAACAGTCCAACTTTTGCAAGTTAAATAATGCTCCCTCCCGTCCTTTTTAGTCTGCATCTAAGTTTTGTCTGAACTCTGAAGTCAAAGTGTCTCTAATTTGACTAAAGTTATAGGAAAAAGTATCAACATACATAATATCAAATCAATATCGTTACATTCATTATGGAATGTAGTTTCATATTATATATATTTGATATTGTAGATGTTGATAGTTTTTAATATAAATTTGGTCAAACGTTGCAAAGTTTGACTTGACACTAATCTTATACATGGAGTAAAAAGGACCGGAGGGAGTATGAAGCATAAAAAGATCCGGTGATGCTACTTATTGAAGTTCAAAATTGACCAAGATATATATTTCAAGGACCACTAGTGAAATGGTCACAATGTAGTTTTTACTGTCTTCCACTTCTAGTGGGGAGCCATTATTATGAAACTGCATAACAGTGATAAAAAGCACTATGGGCAAGGTGCATACTCATGTCATAATTCATCAGTTATCTGTTTCTTACTCCCTCCATTTCTTTTAAGTCTGCATATAAAATTTGACCAAAGTCAAACTTCGTAAAGTTTGACCAATTTTATAGGGAAAAAATATGAATATTCACAATACGAAATATGCATCTATTTATGTAGTGTTCCGTTTTATGTGTTCATCCAGGTATTGCATGCAACAGTGATCAAACAAATGCAGATGGCTGAAACATTGGAGTCCGTGACAGAGTCTGGTCATAGAGTAAGCAACACCACATTATGGATTTCAACGCTGTGTACAATTTGTTCAGTTATTTTTCAACCCACAATATTATTGAATTGTGATCTAAAAGGGACATTGAGTGTTTGACCTGCCTCTGGGGATATATGTACTAGTATGCGTTTCGGATTTACTCTTTGGCTTATATTTGAGGTTAATTTTGCAAGACACTAATGTTTGCTTCTTTTTCGTTTGGTGCAGAGAAGGAAATTTTGTACGTAATAAACTCACAGCAATGTACATGAACAAGAAAGAAAACAGAGATGGCAACTTTGATGACTGCTTTCCGACAGAAACTAAACAGCATTGCTTTGTATATGTCTGCTCAGTCTCGCTTCTCTTTTTGGTCAATCAAAAAGATGGGTGATGTTAATAAGGATAGATAGTTGGTGACCGGAGGAAAACTGAGGGGATGGTCAAGAAGAGTGCCCTGGAAGGTAACTGAATATAGCGCGGCTTATATACAGCAAAAGAAAGTTATGAATCCCGACGCACAGCTCATGTTCTGTTTTCTGTTTTCTCTGCCTCTATGCGCCTCCTGATCTGCTGTATGCCTGTATTTGAATGCTTATGCGCATTTTCATTGTCAGAACAGTTGAGGCTGGGGTCTCATAATTAACACCATTTTTTGGTTGATGGCGTCCATGCATATACTAGTTTTACCCCCTACTTTCAGAGTAAGCAATACCACATACTTTCTTTTCGTGACGCCACTCATCTGACCTGTTGCTGCAACAAACCAAACAAGCAGGACATGTTTTTTTTTTTTGAGAAAGAATAAGCAGGACATTTTTTTTCATGTGTTGAAATAGCCACAAAGTGCATTTTGTACAGCCCTGGGTTGTTCCTTTTTTTCTACCAACGTTCCATGGGTTTTCAGCCCAAATTGTAGATTGCGCTTGGCCACGCCATGTTTGACAAAAATGGACAAACCTCTTTTATTGAGCACCGTCGTTGATTGGTGCAAGCATCATTGGTGGTGGATCGCATGTTGAGGGAGTGGTATTCTGCCGTGCGGTGAGCTGTGTGGCACTCGAAGATATACTACCACATCAAGCTTAGCTGGCGAGCGGCACGTCGTTCTTGCGGGCAAGTTTGCTGCCATAACTAGTAAAACAGCCAGCTGCCAGATTGAAGACGCCATCTCTTCCTCCAACAGAAGACGAAGGAGGTTTGGGTTTGGTGGGTTGGAACTGCTGAAAGGTTCAACGATTTTTACTCGCGTACTATAGACGGCGTGCGTTCATTCCTTACATTTGTCATGCATGCGGTGGCAGGAAAAACAGCTAAGGAAAAAAAAAAGGAGAAAAGAACAAAACGGCAGGGAAAACAGCCAAGGGGAAAAATACCCTCGCTGGTGAAGATCAAAAACAAGACATGCGTCGCCTTGACCGCTTCCCTACAGGATATCTATCTACCGTCGCTGTCTCCAGTGTAAATAACCTCGCTTCGCTTCGCTGACTCGCTCGTCCCAGAATCCATCCGAGTGAATAACCACCGTCAGCGAGAAAACAAACAAAGCCAGGCGAAACAAAACGCGTCCGCGTGGTCACGTCCTTCTCTTCTTCTTCTCCCCTTTGCCTCCTGTTCCAGCTCGCAGCAGCATCCGTCGCCACTAATTAATTGCAGCTGTAGCACCGCCCGCCTGCTCCGTGCAGCCTACAAGCACCAGCGAGAAGAGTCGAGGCGCGCACGTGGGTGGGTCTGCGCGCGCCGTCCGCCTCCTCCACCAGGCCGCCGTCGCCGCCGTCGTCGTCCTAGATCCGCAGCAGTGCGTGCCGGAGGGAAGCGCGATGGCCGCCGGCCGTGGGCTCCCGCTCCTCCTCGTCCTGGCCGCCCTCCTGGTCGGGCTCGCCTCCGCCTCCCCCTTCATCTCCGGTGCGTTCCCTGCTCCTGCTCTGCTCTGCCTCTCTCGCCCGCGTTACGCTTCGCGGCGGCTTCTGTTCTGACGGGTTCGTCGTGCTGTGTTTTGCTTGAGCAGACGGCGTGTTCCAGGCCAGCGCCGGATCTACTACGGGGAGGACCTTGCTGCAGGCCAAGAGGGGTACGTTTCCTTTCTCCTCCACCTCCCTTCCCTGCTCGCTAAGCTCCACCACGCTCTAACGCTTGCTGGTTTCGGAGTTTGATCTGGGATTTGAGAAGATTGGGCTGGGGCCTGGGAGTTCGGTCACATGCTCCGCTTAGATGCGTGGGGTGTCGATTCCCTGATCCATGTCTTCAGATCGGGGTAGCATCGAGGATGAGCGGTCATTGAACTGTAGGCGATGAGGAATAATAAATAGCGATTGAGGGAGCATTTTGGTGGCTGAGTTATTAGATAATTATTACGGTGAGGAATTGGGGTGCTACGAGTTGAACGCAGGGATGAGGGCTGTAGCTTCCCGATCATGTTCTTCACCGATAAAAATGGAATCTACATGGTTTGCCGACTAGTCCGCGTTTCATGGTGTTCGCACTGTACATACTACATGCGCATGCTAGTTATAACTTGTTACTGGACAATAAAACCTAATTACACTCACATAGGATAGGAAAACCTACTAATCGTGATGTTGAATCGTTACGATGGCCTTGTGTAATCCCTGGCCGGTTGATGGCTTTGTTAATTCAAAGTCGGGCTCCCCCTTGAGCCTTCGTTCTAAAAAATCGTGATGTTGAATTTCCGAGCCTGCTGCTTGCTGCTGCTTGGTACTCCCTCCGTCTGGAAATACTTGTCGGAGAAATGCATAAAAATGAATGTATCTAGAACTAAAATACATCTACATACATCAATTCCTCCGACGAGTATTTCCGGACGGAGGGAGTACTAATTAAGATGCTGATCACTAAATAGAGAGCGTGGTAAACTGACATACATACGATAAAATGGCGGAAAGGAGATTTGCTGAGCTTGTGGTGCTAAAACCGGAACTTGCTGTCCAGCAAGGCATGCAATGTCCAGGTAGTTAAGCCTGTATTCCTTATCCAGTTAGAAGCACCACGTTATTGTAACAAATTAGCTAAAGTGGTCTCAGCATATTTCTTCAAGTTATCCAAAATTTCATTGGGTAAGTTAGTTCCAGGCTTCCAGCGGCAAACTAACCAAACACTTCGAGGCAGCCCCAAAGCACATATTTTGGTATCGTCTGTTCACTAAACAATACTCCCTCCGTTCCCAAATATTTGTCTTTCTAGAGATTTCAACAAGTGACTACATATGGAGCAAAATGAGTGAATCTACACTCTAAAATAAGTCTACATACATCCGTATGTTGTGTCCATTTGAAAAGCCTAGAAAGACAAATATTTGGGAACGGAGGGAGTACATGCATATTGCTAACACTGTACCAAGTAGCATCAAGATCGATCCTAATTCATCAGTGTAATGGATGGTGTCTGACATACATCTACCCATGTTTAAGACTTTCAGTGCCTTGATCTATTATATTTGTCTTAGCTCATACTTGTGCTTTTCAGATTGTCCTGTGAACTTCGAGTTCCAAAACTACACCGTCATCACAAGCAGGTGCAAAGGGCCAAAATATCCTCCTAAAGACTGCTGTGATTCTTTCAAGGAATTTGCATGCCCGTTTAATAACTACATCAATGATGAAAGCAATGACTGTGCATCCACAATGTTCAGCTACATCAACCTCTATGGCAAGTACCCACCAGGCCTGTTTGCCCACGAGTGCCGAGAAGGCAAGCTAGGTCTTTCTTGCGAAGGCGTCCCCCAGAAAGACGTTGTTGCAAGTGGTGTCCAAAGGGCTCGAAGCAGCTCGCTTGCTTTGATTACTCTCATGTGTGGACTAGTAGCATTGTTCTTCCAGTAGGTGGTGGTGATACCTTTATTTCTCCCACATTTTTCAATGATGGTGAGCCTGAATCCTCTGCTGCTCCTTAAGGCGCTCTTGAAATTTTTCTTGTTATAATATTGTGTAATTTTATGTTATGTCAGACTACATATTCTTTGGAATCTCACCTGATTGCCAACCTAGAATTCGCTAATTGTCGCTGTACCATACCTCTCACTGTATTGCGTATCACTCGTGTATAATGATGATAACTACGTATTTTGTTTGGTCGCTGGAAAGAGTTTGGTTGTATGCAAATCATCATGGCACTAGCTCATGCTAATCTCAAAGAAAGTTATGACCAATGGTTTACCTATCTATAAGTTGCAGGTTTTCTTTTGCCAAGTTAAGCTGCCTTATTTTTGTTTGCTTGAGGCAAAAATTTGTGGTCACTGGATTTGCAAGATAAGTGCATATGAATAACCTCCCCAAAACTAGGATCGTGTTGTTGCCAATCCGTGGGAAGTCGTTAAAATTATAATGCATTTTGTAATAAGAATAAGAATCCTTGCATGGAAAACGAGAATATTTTTTGGGAGGTTTTCGCTCTTGTTTGAGTTGCAAAAACACCCATGTTTTGCAAAGCATTTCACTTCAATCCATGTTCTACCAAATTGTGTGTCAAAACCATTGTTATTACAACACCATGTCTAGATAACTAATCTTATTATGTCTTGAGCGAGCAAAGTAAACACTTTTAAGAGGTAAGGGAGAGCAATATATCAAGATCCATATTTGGGTTTTGAAACTAAAATCATGACCAGAGTTTGGAGATTTGATGCAAACTTATCTCCTCTGTCTTCTGAAACTTAATGTACAGTTCTCCCTATGGAGTTAGGTTTCATGTGGTGGCCAATTTTGAATATGGCTGGAAATAGCGGTGGTGAAGATGGGAAATACACTTTGGTTCCTACACCCTTTATGGGGATATTTTATAATAATTAAACAAAAAGTTAAAATAGTTCAGAAGTTTTTTTAGAATAAACTTGACTTACTTCTGCACTAGTATATAAATTTTCACGAAAAAAAAACCAACGTTGACTTCATAGCGAAAAAGACAAAATTTATTTGCTATTATATGTCACTATTCATATTATTTTGGTCAAACATTTGTCTTTTTTGAAAAGAAGTCAAAGGGGGATTTTCTTTTTGTGAAATTTTTCTCACAAGTATAATAGAAGGTCAAGTTCATTTCAAAAATATTTTCAGAATCTTTTAACTTTTTGTTGAATTACTATTATTTTATATAGGGTGTAGATATCCCATAGATCAAACGTCCGCGTCTTGGTGAAGATAGCACGGAAAACTAACTCCATGATGCACTTACGTGGAGACATCTATTCAAAAGATTAGCCTAGACACTCCTTAAGATACACATGGGCGGACCTACATTGGGTCGAGTTGACGCCTAGGCACCCACTCAATTTCTATTTTTCCAACTTTGAAGTCTAATATTTTACCAGCTGAGCCCAGTTAACCGAATAGTTGTGCTCCCACTGTTTTGTCCCCCCACTTAGTTTTTGGGCCGGGCACG